CCCCAAAACCCCAAAACCCCAAAACCCCAAAACCCCAGGAGTAAACAGTCATTCTAAATTTATAAAAGTAATGGAAGATTCCAAATCTCCTCATCTAAAAAGGAAACCTCCAAAGACAAACAAGGAGAGGTCAAGACAGCACAGAATCAGGAAGAAGAAATTTTTTGAAGAAATTATCACTGAGAATGCAGAGTTGAGGAGACAAGTTAAGCAGTTGCAAAAAGAAAATGCTAAATTAAAAGAACAGATCAGTATAATGCAAAGGGAAAGTCCCGATTTGAAAGGGTCTAAGACCCATTTGAAATCTCAATTTGAGCACAGTCTAGTTGAATACGAAGACTATCTTTACAATCATTTGTCAAAGAAAATCATTGCTAATTCTGAAGAAGTCAGATACACTGAACTAGCACAAGTTATGGGTCATATCTGCGAGTGGAGGTAGAAATCAAATTTAAAGTTTAGTGATGATCGAGTTGACTACATAAAGACTTGATTCAATAGTAAATTAATTCAAATCATATCATAGAAATTCTTGACCACATGATTAGCCAAAGCTCTAAATGATATTATGCTTGAAACAATATTCTGCTCACGAATACATTGGATGGCAAAGTGAATCTGAAGAAAAGAAGCAAGAAGTATTTTTTACAATAACATTAAGAAATTTTAAGGAACAAAATTAGAAAATGAGGATCTCTATTGTAGCATTCTTAACTTGCTTGACTTTAATGCTAAAATATGTGGTATTCTATTATTCTTTTAAACCTGTATTTTATTCATAGAAAAGACCTTATCAATGTAACAGCTTTTCTTCTTTTATAACTCAAAACCATTTTAATAATTTTGACAAATCATCCGAACAAAATGTAGCAGAGAACATATTCGCAGACATTGAATTTTCAGCCCATGCCAAGTACTCCTTCAAATGCCATCACAAAGACTTAAAGCAATTTCATCAGAAGTTCAAGAAAATGTACTGAATTTAATTAAATTTAGAGCTAAAAATTTGATCAAACAGAGAAACAAGTTGTTGAATTTGTATCAAGATATCAAAGATTTTGTTCAAGATTTTAATTTTTCTGACCGTTAGCAAAATCGATGTAGTCAACGACTTCATTGTCCTTAATAATAAAGTAAAAGAGATTGGTCTGATTCAGAGCCATAAATTCTACGATCTCCCTGAGAAGAGTCATACAAATACCAGATATGAAAACTGAGAGCTTAGTGAATAAAATATTTTTCTCTCAATATTTTATCCTTATCTTTAAAACTGTAAAACTCTAGCTCAGAATTCTTACTCTATTTCATTACCTCAATAGATTAAAAACCTGAAACTATTTTCTCGAAGATAAAATGTAAATTTTGAAGTCAATCCAGAATATAACACATGGGGTTTTGGGGTTTTGGGGTTTTGGGGTTTTGGGG